GCGTGGTTTTTCCGCCAGCCATGCCCTGTTGCACAACATACGACCCTCCGTGCATCATCTTGTCCAAAATGGTGGACATAATGGTCCTCTGTTCTTCATACAAGGGATATTTCGTGAAAAACTCGATAAGAATGAAAACCTTGTCATGCAGCGTGACCGGTAATTTTTGACCAGGCATTTCTCCTGCTTGCTGAGAAAAAGATTGTTTTTTCTGGACCCAGGCCTGGCAAAAAGTGTTGTTTTGCAGAGGAAAAGATTTGCAATAAAAGAATGTGATGAAATGGGACCACAAAAGATCAAGCAGCTCTGGGACCTTTTCAGAACTAACTGTGAACAAGGTCTTGAGTTCTTCAACCGACCCGCATAGCAGTATTTGGGCGACAAGCCTGGGGTCTTTTAAGGCTCCCAGGGGAAACCCATAAAGAAACTCCTCAGTAGACACTATTGATTTCAATTTCTGTTCAAGGGAAGCAGCATCACTAAAGAATGTAAAGCTCGCATTTGCCTTGAAGAAATCAGATGAAAGAGCGTTCCTTTGCATGGTTATGTTTAGGAGATTTTCATAGTCGGCAGGAGGTGATGGGAGTTTCTGAGAAATCTTCCTCAATTGCTCAAAAGAAGGAGGCAATTTGAATCCCTTGTATTTTTGATAAATGTCGAACACTTCTTGAGGAAAGATGTTTCTTTTCAATTCAGAAAAGAAGATCGAGAGTTTTTTCTGATCTGAAAAATTATTGAAAACCGCAAAAATGACGCGAGAAAGGGAGGCAAATTTACTTTCCGGGCTATCATAATTCGTTTGAAAATTGAATCGTATAAAATCGAGATATTCGGAATTAAACCTGCTCTTAAAATCAGCTAAATTTTTGGAGGATTTAGCTAGGCCATATAGAAAAATGAGGCACTCGAAAAAAGTAAAATGTTCATTTGCCTCCAAAAGATTCAGTTTTATTTTCCAAGGTGTAGAATAAGACTTTTGATATTCATCATCTTGGATAGCATTTTTAAGGCTGGGGATGTTTGCTTTGAACTCTGCGGGGTTTCCAATACCAGAATCGATTTTCAGCTTGTTAGAATATGCCCAAATGTGCGTGTCTTCGGTGATATTAGGAAGGAAGGAGAAAAGAAGCCTTTTATGGTTGAATGGGATAATGGGAATCAAATTCGCAATGTCGGAAATTTTTTTGACCCCATCCTCTTCATTCAAAGAGCGTTCGAAAAAGATGCCATTCTCATCAAGCAGATGGTTTGCCCAGGTTTTTGTCACACTGTATTCGAGATCGCGGTATTTGATTTCGAGGATATTTCGCAAAATACCCAATTCAATCTCTGAAAGTTGGAAAGCAACGCTCGTGTACAAGGAAACGTATTCCATAGCCTGGTCGTAATATCTTAAAAAGATAAGCCAATAGACGATGGCAAGGTCGACCTCTCGATCATGGCCTTCAATGTTGAAATTTGGATCTCTACAAGTGACCTTGAGAAAAGTAAACTTGTATGAATCACCAGGTTTTGACAGAGGTACCGGAATGATAATGTGGAAGGAATTTTCAATCGA